GTTTAGCAAAAACAACTAGTTACGGCTGGGCATAGTGGCTCAAATCTGTAATTCCACCACTTTGGGAGGCTGAGGCAGGAGGATCATTTGAGTTCCGGAAGTTTGAGACCAGCCTGGGCAACATAGCGGGACCTTGTTTCTACAAAAAAATGTAACAATTAGCTCAGAGCGGTGGTGCACATCTGTAGCCCCAGCTACTCAGGAGGCTGAGGTGGGAGAATCATCTGAGCCCAGGAGGTCAAGAGTGCAGTGAGGTGCTATTGTGCACTTACTGCACTCTAGCCTGGGTGATGGAGTGAGATCCTGTCTCAAAGAAACAAACAAAACCCAACTAGTTATCTGGGCCAAGGTCTAGGGCATCATCAATACCCAGAAAAGAAGAAAGACTGACAATGTTCTATCTCTTTGCTAGTGGTGGTTTCTATTTAAAAAGACTAAAAATTGACAAACCACTGGCAAAATTAGACAAGAAAAAAAGAAAGTATAAGTAACAGTATCATAAATAAAAGGGGAGATGCTGTTATCAATAATACAGATATTTAAAAGCTAACAAAAGCATATTATAAGCAACTTTACTCCAATAAATTTGAATATATGGATGAAATCAAAATTCTTTTAGAAAAATATAAAATTACAAATGACACAAGAAGAAAATGTCCTGGAAAATAACCCTAGACCCTTACCTCAGACCATTTACAAAAGTTAACTCAAAATGGATCAAAAATCTAAATATAAGAGCTAAAACTATGAAAGTCTTAGAATATAGGAATAAATCATTATCTTGGATTTAGCAAAGATTTATTTCTTTAAAAAGAATATTTTTTGGGGGGACAAAGTTTCACTATGCTGTTTCACTACAATATACTGTTTCACTATAGTACAGCATAAAAATCTCAAACTCCTGGGCTCAAGGGATCCTCCTGCCTCAGCCTCCCAAGTAGCTGGGACAACAGGCATGCACCACCATGCACAGCTGGCACTGATTTTTAAGTTATGACACCAAAAGCACAATCTAAAGAAAAAATAAATCAGAATTCATCAAAATAACAAACTTTAGTGTATCAAAAAATACTATCAACAAAGTGGAAAGACAACCCATAAAATGAGAGAAAATATTTGCAAATAATTTATCTGATGAGTTTGGTACATACAATATATAAAGAACTCACACAACTCAACAAACCGCTTTCTACAGTAGCTAAACTCACCAACAGTGTGTAAGTGTTCCCTTTTCTCGGCAGGCTCACCAGCATCTATTTTTTTTTTAATTTTTAATAGTAGCTGGCTGGGCACAGTGGCTCATGCCTGTAATCCAGCACTTTGGGAGGCCAAGGTGGGTGGATCACGAGGTCAAGAGATGGAGACCATCCTGGCCAACTTGGTGAAACCTCATCTCTACTAAAAAGACAAAAATTAGCTGGGCGTGGCGGCGCACACCTGTAGTCCCAGCTACTCAGGAGGCTGAGGCAGAAGAATAACTTGAACTCGGGAGGCAGAGGTTGCAGTGAGCCGAGATCGTGCCACTGCACTCCAGCCTGGTGACAGACCAAGACTCCATCTCAAAAATAAAAATATAAAGATAAATAAAATAATAATAGTCATTCTAACTGGTGTAAGATGGTATCTCATTACAGTTCTGATTTGCAGTTCTCTGATCATTAGTTATGTGGAGCATTTTTTCATATATTTGTTGGCCACTTGTAGGTCTTCTTTTGAGAAGTGTCTATTCACATCTTTTGCTCATTTTTTTAAAATGGCTTTTTTTTTTTTTTTTTTTTTTTTTGCTTGTTGATTTGTTTAGGTTCCTTATAGCTCCAGATACTAGACTTTTGTCAGATGCATAGTTTGCAAACATTTTCTCCCATTCTGTAGGTTGTTTACTCTGTTGATAGTTACTTTAATTGGAAGCTTGTTAGTTTAATTAGGTGTCACTGGTCAATTTGTTTTTGTTGCAATTGCTTTTGAGGACTCAGTTATGAATTATTTCTCAAGGCAGACATCTAGAATGGGTTTCTTAGGTTTTCTTTTAGGATTCTTATAGTTTGAGGTCTTACATTTAAAATATTTAATTCATCTTGAGTTAATTTTTGTATTTGATGAAAGGTAGGGGTCCAGTTTCAGTCTTCTGCATATGGCTAGTCAGTTATCCCAGCACCATTTATTGAATAAAGAGTCCTTTCCCTGTTGTTTATTTTTGCTGACTTTGTTGAAGATCAGGTGGTTGTAGGTGTGTGACTTTATTTCTGGGTTCTCTATTCTGTTCCATTGGTCTATGCATCTGTTTTTGTCCTAGTATCATGTTGTTTTGGTACTGTAGACTTGTGGTATAGTTTGAAGTTGGTAATGCAATGCCTCCAGCTTTGTTCTTTTTGCTTATGATTGCTTTGGCTATCCGGACTCTTTTTTGGTTCCGTATGAATTTTAGAATACTTTTTTTCCAGTTCTGTGAAAAACGATGTTGGTAGCTTGATAAGAATAGCATTGAATTTGGAGATTGCTTTTGGCCATTTTAACTATACCGTTTCTTCTAATCCATGAGCATGAACTGTTTTTCCATTTGTTTGTGTCATGTATTTTTTTTTTCAATAGTGTTTTGCAGTTCTTGTGAGATCTTTCACCTCCAAAGTTACTTGTATTCTTAGGGATTTTTTTTTCAGCTATTGTAAATGGCATTGCATTCTTGGTTTGGCTCTCAGCTTGAATGTTATTGGTGTATAAAAATGCTACTGGTTTTCGTACATTGATTTTGTATCTGAAAATTTTGCTGAAGTTGTTTGTCAGTCCTAGGAGACTTTGGGCAATCTTTAAGGTTTTCTTTTCTTTTTTTTAAAATTTTACTTTAAGTTCTGGGGTACATGTGCAGATCTTGCAGGATTGTTACACAGTTATACACATGCCATGGAGGTTTGCTGCCTCCATCCCCCCATCACCTACATTAGGTATTTCTCCTAATGTTATCCTTCCCCAATCTCCCCACCCCCTGCTATCCCTTCCCTAGCCCCCCACCCCCCAATAGACCCCAGTGTGTGATGTTCTTCTCCCTGTGCCCATGTGTTCTCATTGTTCAACATTCACTTATGAGTGAGAACATGCAGTGTTTGGTTTTCTGTTCTTGTGTCAGTTTGCTGAGAATGATGGTTTCCAGATTCACCCATGTCCCTGGAAAGGACATGAACTCATCCTTTTTATGGCAGCATAGTATTCCATGACGTATATGTGCTACATTTTCTTTATCCAGTCTATCATTGATGGGCATTTGGGTTGGTTCCAAGTTTTTGCTATTGTAAGCAGTGTGTGCATTTGTCTTTATAATAGACCAATTTATAATCCTTTGGGTATATACCCAGTAATGGGATTGCTGGGTCAAATGGTATTTGTATTTCTAGATCCTTGAGCAATTGCCACACTGTCTTCCACAATGGTTGAACTAATTTACAATCCCACCAAAAGTGTAAAAGCATTCCTATTTCTCCACATCCTCTCCAGCATATGTTGTCTCCAGATTTTTTAATGATCCCCATTCTAACTGGCATGAGATGGTATCTCAATGTGGTTTTGATTTGCATTTCTCTAATGACCAGTGATGATGAACTTTTTTTTATATGTTTGTTGGCCACATAAATGTCTTTTGAAAAGTGTCTGTTCCTATCTTTAGCCCACTTTTTGATGGGGTTTTTTATTGTACATTTGTTTTAGTTCTTTGTAGATTCTGGATATTAGCCCTTTGTCAGATGGGTAGATTACAAACATTTTTTCTCATTCTGTTGGTTGCCGGTTCACTCTAATGATTGTTTCTTTTGCTGTGCAGAAACTCTTAAGTTTAATTAGATCCCACTTGTCTATTTTGGCTTTTATTAGCATTGTTTTTGGTATTTTAGTCATGAAGCCCTTGCCTATGCCTATGTCCTTAATGGTATTGCCTAGGTTTTCTTCTAGGGTTTTTATGGTGTTAGGTCTTATGTTTAAATCTTTAATCCATCTGGAGTTAATTTTTGTATATGGCATAAGGAAGGGTCCGGGTTCAGCTTTGTGCACATGGCTAGCCAGTTTTCCCAACACTATTTATTAAACAGGGAATCTTTCCCCATTGCTTTTGTCCAGTTTGTCAAAGATCAGATGGTTGTAGATGTGTGGTGTTACTTCCAAGGCCTCTGTTTTGTTCCGTTGGTCTATATCTCTGTTTTGATACCAGTACCATGCTATGTATAGATTCCTATCATCAACAAAGAGAGATAGTTTGACTTCTTCTTTTCCTATTTGGATGTCTTTTATTTCTTTCTCTTGCCTGATTGCTCTGGCAAGGACTTTCATTACTATGTTGAATAGTAATAGTGAGAATGAGGATTTTTGGCTTGTTCCAGTTCCCCAGAAGAATGCGTCCAGTTTTTGCCCCTTCACTACGATGTTGGCTGATTTGTCATAGATGGCTCTTATTTTGATCCATCTAGTCTTCCCTTGGTGACTAGTTTTTTTGAGGGCTTTTATCATGAAGGGATGTTAAATTTTATAAAAAGCTTTTTCTGTGTCTAATGAGAAGATCATATGGTTTTTGTTTTTAATTCTGTGTATGTGGTGAATCATATTTATTGATTTGTGTATATTGAGCCAACCTTGCATCCCAGGTATGAAACCAAATTGATCATGATGAATTAACTTTTTAACATGCTTCTGTATTCAATTTGCTAGTATTTTGTTGAGGATTTTTGTATATACATTCATCAGGGATATTAGCCTATAGTTTTCTTTTATTATTGTGTCTTTGCCATATTTGGGTATCGGGGTGATGCTGGCTTTATCAAATGAGTGAGGGAGGAGTCCTTCCTCCTCGAATTTTTTGAATAGTTTCAGAATTGGTACCAGTTCTTCGTCACATTAAGAGATTCAGGCAGAAAAGAAGTTCTAGTATTTCTACATAGATGCAAAAATTTTAAAGCATTTGATAAAACTTAATATCCACTCATTATTTTTAAACACTTAAGAAAAAAGACATAGAATGAAAGTTCCTAATCTAATAAAAAGTATCTATAGAAAACCAAAGAAAATTAATGGTTTATGTCAAAAGCTTTTCCTCTAAAGTCAGGAACAATTAAAGGGTGCCCAATATCCCCATTTCTATTCTATGTTGTATTACAATTTCTAACTAGTACATGAAGGATAAGAAAAATAAGTGAATGGTATAATTATCTGCAGATGGTAAATTATATATGTAGGGAAAAGAGATTTATTAGAATTATAAGAGCATTTAGCAAAATCCCTAGATGAAGAATCAATATGACAAAAGTAGCTACATTTCCAAACACCAGCCATAAATTGTTGGCAAATAATTTTTTAAAGATGACTTTTTAGCCTAAAAAACTCAAGTATCTACAAACAAATATATCAAAAGATATATAAGACTTTTATGTCTATTCAAAGACACTAAAGACTGATGTAAATGGTGAATTGGAAGGTCCAATAGTATAAAAATGTCAGTTCACTCTAAAATGACTTAATGATTCAGTTCAATCCCAGTAAATATTCCCAATAGGGTATTTTGATAGAATCTGACAGACTAACTTTAAACTTTATGGAAAATTTAAAGGCCAAGAATATCCAAAACACTCTTTTAAAAAATAAGATGGGAATTCTTGCTGTACTAAATATTAATAATGATTATAAAGTAAAATGATAAAGACATATGACATTGTCACAGAAATTGACAAATAAATCAATGGAGTATAACCAAGATATGCAATGACTCACACATAAATGGACACTTCATATATAACAGTAATGGCACTGCAGAGTCCTAAAGAAAAAAGATAATCTTTTCAGTAAATGGTGCTTTGAAAACAGAACATTCATATAGGGGAAAAAAAAATTAAATGTACTCTTTCATCAGTGTAAGCTTCCATGAGTTCAGAGTTTTTTCAGTTTCGTTCACAGCGTAATCCCAATGGCTAGAAATGTAACTGGCATATAGAAGGTACGCATACTCATTCAGTATTTGTTAAGTGAATGAATGAATGAGTAAATAAATGATGGCTTTAGAAATATTTCTCAAGTTTTTAATCTGCCTTCTTTTAAACATCTAACTAGGAAAAAAGTACATGAGAGTTACCACTAGATGGAGAAACGTAACAAAGTAATCAACACAGTCTTTCATTCTGAAAGGAATTGCTTCAAGAAAAGCCTGCTGTCACCTTTGCTGTAATAACTCATATTTCACTGATTTATGCCCCAATGCACAGATGTTATTCTGCTCTGCTAAGTATTTTAGTTCTTCTGTGTACCAGTACAGGTTACCAGTTCCTCTTCCCTCTTCCCCACCCTCTCCATCCCTTGCAACTCCCCAACCTGTATTTAACTGAATTTCCCAATGTACTAAAGCCCTCAGGTTTCCAGAGCTGTGAGGTGGTCCATGGTGAAAAAGAATCTGTCCCCTCTGAGTTATACTCTGTTAAAGCAGGTCACAAGTTAGTGAAACAGTTCTTTCATATTTTACTTCCAACATCCTTTCTCCGTGGAATCCCAGATTGGATCCACTGTGGGGTAGATTTGAATGGCAGCTACCGTGCATTATCAAGGACCACCATTTCTTTGCACCTCTAAAGGATCACTTGCCAGGTCATGGTTATCCCAGAAAGTTGTCTCAGTGCTTATGCTGATAAGCTTCCATCACTAATCTGTCCACCCGTTCATATTAGGCTAGTGTGACTAACTTATCCTGGTTTGCTGGGGACTTTCACAGTTTTAGTACTGGAAGTCTCACGTCCCATGAAATCCCTCAATCTTGGATAAACCAGAACAGCTGGTCACTCTACACTAGGCCCAGATCTCTCTGAACCCCACTCAAGCTCAAACTGGATTGTGTTATACAAGTGTAAAATTTTTAACCACATATATAAATTCTTGTTCTCTCCTCCCACTCTGCATACAGTCAGCCATCGAATCTGTCAATTCCACTTCCTATGTATCATTTAAATTCATTTCCTCCTCTAATTCACCTTACCTTACTTAGCTCATGTCTCATCATTTTATTCAGAATTACTAGGTAATCTTAAATAATATGGGTTTTGTTTTTTGTTTTTTCTACCCCTAGTATTGCTCATCTCCAGTTCTCCCTCATGAAATATCTTTCACACCAATGTGATGGGATCACATCATAGCCCTGCCAAAAAAAAAAAAAAAAAATCATCACTACTTCCCCTCAGCCTAGGATTTTGTCCACCTTCTTCATATGGTACATAAAGCTCTTCCTGCTGGGTGTGGTGGTTCACACCTGTAATCTCAGGACTTTGGGAGGCCGAAGTGGGTGGATCACTTGAGGTTGGGAGTTTGAGACCAGCCTGACCAACATGGAGAAACCCTGTCTTTACTAAAAATACAAAAATAGCCGGGCGTGGTGGCACATGCCTATAATCCCACCTACTCAGGAGGCTGAGGCAGGAGAATTGCTTGAACCCAGGAGGCGGAATTTGTGGTGAGCCGAGATCACGCCATTGCACTCCGGCGTGGGCAACAAGAGCGAAACTCCACCTCAAACAAACAAAAAATAGCTCCTCCCAGTGTAGCCCTACCTAATATTTTCAACTTTATCTTCCATCACTCTATTCTTTATATTCTTTACCCCCAGTGCTACTTACTACTCAACTGAACTAATTACTGCTCCCAGAACCCACCATGCCCATAGGCCTTTGCTTCCACTGATCTTATTTTCTAGAATGCCCTCTTGCTTTGCTATCTGGTAATTTACCTTTACTCATCAGAACCACCAAAATCGAGAAGGGAAGTTTGCCCAGACCAAGAGATGCTATGTAGACCAAAAAGAAAAGAAAGAAATATTCAGACAGTTTACAGGACACACATATACCTCTCTTATGATAATACAAGCCCAAAAAAGTCTTAGTTAACAAAATGTACTATTTTATATACAACCATATATGAAGGGAAAACAATCAAAGTCACATCTGGCCGCTATATCAATAGGTAATGTTAGGCAGTCCTTGTTCTCCAAGTTCAGGGTCATTGTGCCAGTACTGGGCCTCTTTAGATTTTGTAGGCAACAAAAACCACAATTCAATGCTCTGCTCTGATCCAGTTACACCAAGTAATTTGTAAGGCTGCTACTTCTGAATGGTGCCTGAAGCAAGAGAAGGCTCTACAGTGGGTCAAGGCAGTGCCACTCCAGTCTGTCTACCCAGTGGTGCTCCAAGTGTCTGTGGTAAGAGTGCCACATAGCTCCTCTGGCAAGCCTCTGCAGGAAAATGACACAACACATAGCTAGCAAACAGAACCATACTCTCCTCTGCTCCCTTAAAGAAGCAGCTCATAGCTCACTGTTATGCCCTGGTATAAACTTTTAACCTTGGAATTCCTATTACATGACCTAATTGCTACATGATCTAACTTGCCCATTATGAACAAGACCTAGCTATAATGTTGTGCAGCAGCAATCCATTAGCAAATAGACATAGTATGTGCAAGATCAGATTCTCAAGCAAGCTCAGAGAACAAGTAAGTTACATGAGCAAGTGGCCCAGACCCCCACAGTACCTACTTCTGCTGCCTTATGGCCTCTCCCTCAACCAGCATTTGTGGTTTTATAGGGAGTTTCTTATGACCTGTTGAAAGAGAGGGGGAAATACACTTGGGCTTTATCCCTGTCAAAATGCCAATGATATTCTTCATAGAAACAGAAAAAACGCCTAAAATTTATATAGGACCACAAACGATTTTGACTATCCAAGGCAAACCCAAGCAAAAAAACAAAACTGGAGGCATCATCCTATCTGACTTCAAACCATACTACAAAGTCATAGTAACCAAAACAGCACGTCACTGATATAAAAACAGACACATAGACCAATGAGACAGAATAGAGAACCCAGAAATTAATCTGTGTATCTACAGCCAACTGATTTTTGGCAAAGGGACAAAGAACATACATTAGGGAAAGGATAGTCTCCTCAATAAATAGTGGTGGGCCAAGCACGATGGCTCACACCTGTAATCACACTTTGAGAGGATAAGTAGGGAGGATTGCTTGAGCCCAGTTCAAGACCAGCCTGGGCAACAAAGGGAGACCCCTCTCTACAAACACACAAAATATATTTTTTAAAAACAGCCAGGCCTGGTGGCATGCACCTATAGTCCCAGTGACTTCGGAGGCTGAAGTGGGAGAATCACTTGAGCCTGGGAAGTTGAGGTGCAGAAAGCCATGATTGTACCATTACACTCCAGTCTGGGTAATAAAGCAAGACCCTGTCTCAAATAAATAAATAATTAGTGCTGGGAAAACAGAATATCTATACACAGAAGAATGAAACTAGACTCCTATCTCTCACCATACACAAAAATCAACTCAAAATGGATCAAAGACCTAAGTGTAAAACCCAAAACTATAAAAGTACTAGATTATTGAGGACTACATGATTAGGTACTGGAAAAAAAAAGTACTAGAAAAAAGCAGAGGGGAAATGCTTTAGGAGATTGCTCTGGGAAAATATTTTATGAATAAGACCTCAAAAGCACAGACAACAAATGCAAAAATAAATGGGATTATATCAAACTAAAAAGCTTCTGCACAGCGAAGAAAACAATCAACACAGTGAAAAGACAGCTTACAGAATGGGAGAAAATATCTGCAAACTACTCATCTGACCAGATATTGACATCCAGAATACACAGGAACTTACATATCTCAACAGCAAAAAATAAAAAAATAAATAAATAAATAAACACTATGATTAAAAAATGGGCAAGCGATCTGAACAGACATTTTTCAAAAGAAGACATACAAATGACCAACAGGTATATGAAAAATGCTCAATATCATTAATTATCAGGGAAATGTAAATCACAACTACAATGATATAACATCTCACTCCAGTTAGGATGGCTATTATAAAAGAAAAAAAAATGCTGGCAAGGATGCAGAGAGAAGGGAACTCTCATACACTTGGTGGGAATGTAATCTAGTACAGCCAGTAGGGAGAACGGTCTGGAGGTTCCTCAAAAGACTACAAGTAGAGCCACAATATGATGCAGAAATTCCTCTACTGGGTATTTAATCCAAAGGAAAGGAAATCAACATATTGAAGAGAAACCTGCATCCCTATGTTTACTTCAGCATTATCATGAGAGCCAAGATATGGAATCAACCTATGTGTCCAACAACAGATGGATGAATAAGAAAAATGTGGTATATAAATATACAATGGAGTACTATTCAGCCATAATAAAGAATAAAATCCTGTAATTCAGGGCAACGTGGATGGAAATGGAGGACATTATATTAAGCAAAATAAGCCAGGAACAGAAAGTCAAATACTGCATGTTCTCACTCATATGTGGAAGCTAAAAAAAGCTGATCTCATAGAAGTAAAAAGTAGAATAAAGGATACTAAAGGCTGAGAAGAGTAGGGGGAAGAGGGAGATAGAGATTTGTTAAAGGATACAAATGGATAGGAGAAATAAGTTACAGTGTTCTATACTACTATGGAATAACTATAATTAACAGTATCTTATAGTTTCAAATAGCTAGAAAAAGGATATTGAATGTTCCCAACACAAAGAAATGATAAATGTTTGAGGTGATGGATATGCTAATTACCCTGATTTGATCACTATCCATTGTATGTATCACAACATAGCTATGTACCTCATAAATATGAACAATTATTATGTGTCAATTTAAAATTTTCTAAATGAAAAATTAAAAAAAAATTTAAACCAACTTGGGCCTGGTTTACAGAAGGGTGTCCACATGACACTAGTACCAGTATACTCACTCAAAGATGCTGCTGAAGGGAAACGGTGAAGAAACTCCCAGAGGGCAGAATTTTTAGCAGTACACCTTGAGGTCCTCTCAGCCAGGAAGGAGGAGTAGCTTGTGGTACAGGTGTACACTCATCTGTGGACAGTGAATAATGCTTTGGTCACCTGGTCACGAAATGGAAAAGAACAAGACTGATAGCAAGGAAGACTAAAGAAGAGACACATGCACAGATCTTTCAGAATGAGCACTAAATGTGAAGGAATTTGTGTGAGTGCTTACCAAGATACAGCCACTGTAGAGGAGGCCTCAGTAATAGAGGTGAACAAAGTGACTGGTTCTGGAACTATCAGTCAGCATCCTTCCTCATCTTCTGTGTTAATGGGCTGGTATACAAAATGGCCATAGTGGCAGAGATGAAGCACAGACCCAACAAAGTGCTCACCATGCTAATATGACTGTTAGCATAGTTGAGTGCCCATATTATCAAGAGCAGAATCTAAACTGTAAGTCCCCAATATGGCACAATTTCCCAAAGGGATCAGGCAACTGTGTGTTGATAGGTTGATTATAAGGCACCCCTTCCATCATGGAAATCAAAGCCATTTGTTTGTGCTAGAATAGACACTTATTCTGTGTATTGATTTGCCTTTTCTGCCTATTGCGTTTCTGCCAGCACCACCACATAATTTCTTACTCAATATCATGGTATCCTACTCAACACATCTTCTAAGGAACACATCTTAGAAGTGTAATTAGAGTTTGCAAATTATGGAAATAAGTAGTCTTACTGCATATCCCACCATCTAAAGGTATCTGGCCCGATAAAACAATGGGATGGCCTACTAAAGGCTCAGTTACAACATGAGCTGAGAAACATTTTGTAAGGTTGGAACTCTGTTTTCAAAGAACAATATATGCTTTTAGTCATTGACTAATGTATAGCACTATTTCTCCCAAAGCCACAATACACAGGTCCATAGTCAAGAAGTAGAAGGGAAAGTGGCTTCTCTCATTATTACACTTCTTCACAGAATTCTGCTTCTCATAACTTGAATTCTGTTTAATTCCCAAGAGAGAATGCTTCCATTGAGTTTCTAACAGTTAAATGGCCGTTTTAGATTCCATATGCAACTGAACCAATGGACAAAAACGGAATTACTGGCTGGAGTGATAGATCCTGACAACTAAAGAAACACTGGGTTGCTGCTACAAAGTGAAACCAAAAAGGACTATATATGGGGATGCTGCCATTCATGACAACATGGCACCCCTGTGTTCCCGCTGCTGATAGTAAAAGTTAATTTAAAAAACTATAATAACCAAGAAAGACAGGACCACTGAAGATTCAGACCCTTCAGGAATGACAGTGTGGATCACACCACTTGGTATATGCTAGCTCAGAGTACAGGAAGCATGCAATGAGCTGGGGAGGAAGGGACACTAACCACAGGCTCATGACTAGACAGAAATAAGGACTAATAACTAAGCATTATCTCTTACTTGCTTAATGTATATATGTGTTTATGTATTTCTGTATATATTAACAAATTTGTCTTTTCCTTTCCCACTGTAATTTTAAAAATTAATGGTAATTGTTAATTTCATCTTTAGGTTATAGAAGGTTCATAAGGGACTTTATTGAATTGAGGAGTACTTAACACACAATCCAGAGATTAACGTAATGACATTTGGGATCATCTCTTTATGGAGAAAGGGTAAGAATGTCAATTTATTTATTTTTATTTATTTATTTTTTTGAGTTTCATTCTGTCACCCAGGCTGGAGTGCAGTGGCACGATTTCAGCTCACTGCAATCTCCACCTCCCAGGTTCAAGCTATTCTTGTGCCTCAGCCTACTGAATAGCTGGGATTACAGGCATGCGCCCCTACACCCAGCTAACTTTTTTTATTTTTAGTAGAGATGGGATTTCGTCACGTTGCCCAGACTGGTCTCGAACTTCTGTGCTCAAGTGATCCACCTGCCTCAGCCTCCCAAAGTGCTGGGATTACAGGCATGAGTCTCTGCGCCTGGCTGAGAGTGTCAATTTGTACAAAGGATAGCTGTATCTTGTTAAAGAAAAAGCTGCCATTTTTAAATTGCTGTATGGGAAGCTCAAATATACAGAGAAAGTTGTGTATGAATATTGAATAAGCAAAGTAATGAGCTGTCCCAGTTGTTATGCCATTGTCTCTCAGTCCAAACTCACGAATGTAACTCTTCTTTATGACAACAAGGCTGGGACTATGAGAACTATATTTCCACTTTGCCAGTTGGTTTCCTATTAGTTCTTCAAGGCAGAAAGAGTGAGATAGGACATGCTTCCTTCCTGACAAGTGGCTATCATTTATAATATTCAACTTTTTTGGAATTCCTAAAACCAGCCTCAACATGCCTCATCCAATGATGCCAGCAAGAGTTAGGCAGTGGCCCCTCCTCAGAAGTCTGAAATGCCTCTCTTTTAAGTTTCCTTTTGTGCAAACTTCCTTTGGTGTCCTCAACCCTAGGAGTGGTAGCTTCCTCCTATAGTTACTGTATCTATATTAGTTCAATATCTGCCCCCTCAACTTTTTTTTTTTTTGCTTTGCTTTTTTGGTTCCCCAAAACTCCTTAGCCAATTTCTTATATTGAATTATCTCTGTGGAAATACCAAGTATAGGCCGGGCGCAGTGGCTCACGCCTGTAATCCCAACACTTTGGGAGGCCAAGGCGGGTGGACCACAAGGTCAGGAGATCGAGACCATCCTAGCCAACGTGGTGAAACCCCTTCTCTACTAAAATACAAAAAACCAGCCAGGTGTAGTGGCACACACCTGTAGTCCCAGCTACTGGGGAGGCTGAGGCAGGGGAATCGCTTGAACCCAGGAGGCGGATGTTGCAGTGAGCCGAGATCTTACCGCTGCACTCCAGCCTGACGACAGAGCAAGACTCTACCGCAGAAAAAAAAAAAGAAATACCAAGTGTGGTTTCTGTTGTTCTGACTGTATCCTGACTGATACAGTCATCCTGCAAGTAAAGAACCCAAACCATTTGCAGTCCTTATAAACTTAATCAGTTTGTTGATATCCAGGAAATTATTTTCTGGGATTTTGATTGGGTTTGCCTTGGATCTATACATCAAGTTGGGAAGAAGTGACGTCTTGATAATGCTGAGTCTTCCTATCTATATACATGGAATCTCTCTCCATTTACTTGGATTTTTATTTCTTCATCAGAATTTTATAACTTCCCTCATAAAGGTCTTGTCTATTTTTGTTAGTTTTATGCCTAAGAATTTAATTTGGGGGCACTATTGTAAATGGGATGTTGTTTTCATTTCAAATCCCATTTGTTTGTTGCTGGCATATAGGAAAGCAATTAAGTTTTGCCACCTTGTTATAATTGCTTATTAGCTCCAGGAGGGCTTTTTTTTCTTGGTCAATTCTTTCAGATTTTCTACATAGACAATCATGTCATCTGCAAACAAAGGCAATTCTATTTTTTTCTTCCTAATCTGTATACTTTTTACTTCCTTTTCTTGTCATATTGCATTAGCTAGGCCTTCCAATAAATATGATGTTGAAACGGGTTGGTATAAAGAGACATCTTGCCTTGTTCCTGATTTTAGCGGGAAAGCTTCAATTTCTTACCATTAAGTACCATGTTAGCTGAAAGATGTTTGCACATGTTCTTTATCAAGTTGAGTAAGCTCCCTTCTATTAGTAGTTTGCTGAGAGTTCTGACAGTAAATAAGAGCTGGTTTTTGTCAGATGTTTTTTCTGCATCTATTGATATGATCACGTGATTTTTCTTCTTTAGCCTGTTGATATGACAGATTACATTAATTGATTTTCAAATGTTGAACCAGCGTTGCATTATTAGAATAAATTGCACTTGGTCATAATGCATAATTTCCTTTATATATCATTGGATTAAATTTGCTAATATTTTGTTGAGGACTTTTGCATCTATGTTCATGAGACATATTGGTCTGTAGTTTTCTTTTTTTCTAATATCTTTGTCTGATTTTGGTATTAGGTATTAAAATAATTATGGCCTCATAAAATGAGTTAGGAAGTGTTTCCTCTGCTTCTATCTTCCAAAAGATTGTAGAGCATTGGTATAATATTTTTCTTAAACATTTGGTAGGATTTGCCCGTGAGCAAATCTGGGCTTGGTGCTCTCTGTTCTAGAAATTATACTTATTATTAATTCAATTATTTAATAGATACAAGCCCATTTAGATTGTCTATTACATAATATTTTGATAAATCCAATATGTTCATTCCACTCCCATGGTTAAGCTCTTTGAGCAGCTTCAGTTACCTTTTAAATCTGGGCTAGCCTTTTAATCCACTGTCATTTCTCAACACCACAGCCTGCATATGTTACTACTTACATTTAACCAAAAATATCAAGCTCTGGCATACCCCTATGCATTTTCAAGGACTTTTCTGTATTCCTGAAGTACCCTGTTCTAACCCATATTTATCCTACAAAATTCAGCCTTCCCTGGAAGCCTTTCCTGATGTCTCCAAGCAGTCGAACTGCCCCATTCAGGTTGTACAAGAGAAAAACAAAAATTATGTTTTAAAACTACAAAGAGGAAAGTCCAAACTTTTTAACAGTTATTTAATTGTTCCTATTTAATTCAAGATACACATGAAATAAACTATAATATTCTGATTTGGTTGTGGATTAAGTCCTGTCATTTATAAATTTACTATCCGAGATGGACAGACACATTTTGACACAACATATTAACAATGATACAAATACTGAATTATCTCTGTTGGTAACATTTTAATATAAAATAAAGATTAAAATGCACCAAAATTGAAGGGAAACTTCAGTACCCAATTAGGTATACGCTTACTTGTGTTCATATCTGAAAAGTGCATCAGGACAAGTTTGCGTCTTTTTGTCAATTTTTGCTATGAACGATTAAGAGCTCAAATTCAGGAGTTACACAGTTATGTAGGGCAAACAATATCTACACCACTGACCTGTGCTTCACCAAGATCTGTGAAATTTTGGGTAAATGACTAAACTCACTCTCAGTCTCCTCATGGGATAAAAGTACATCATAACTGGTGGTGACAGTAAATGAAGGTAATGTTATTTATTGAATTACTAAAAGTAATGTCTTATATAGACCACTCTTTCCTCTCACATATGATATTTGACACAATTTTTTTTTTTTACTACGAATCCATAGTGCTCTGTAACAACCTAACTGTTAAATAAAGGACCCTTCTTCAACATAGTTCCCCTTTATTCATTTTTAAAACTTTAAGAAAAGTAGTAGAATATGGTGAACACTAGATGAAGCATCATTCCAAGTAGAATAATCCTTCCTAACCAAGAACTTTCTAGTATAGCTTAAAAATTATGTCTTATATATTTCAAAATAGCTAGAAGAGAATAATTCAAATGTTTCTAACATAAATAAAAGATAAACAAGGTGATAGATATCCCAATTACACTTATTTGACCTTTACAAATTATACAAATATACTCAATTATCACGTGTGCACCCAAATGTATACCTCTATTTTTTTTTAAGATGGTCTCTCTCTGTCGCCCAGGCTAGAGCACAGTGGTGCAATCTTGGCTCACGGCAACCTCTGCCTCCTGGATTCAAGAGATTCTCCTGCCTGAGCCTCCCAAATAGCTGGGATTACAGGGGACTGCCACCACGCCTGGCTAATTTTTGTATTTTCATTAGAGTTGGGGTTTTGCCATGTTGGCCAGGCTGGATACTTCTATTATCTGTCAATTAAAAAGTAAAATTTTAGCCGGGCGCGGTGGCTCACGCCTATAATCCCAGCACTTTGGGAGGCCGAGGCGGGCGGATCACTAGGTCAAGAAATCGAGACCACTCTCGCCATGATGAAACCCCGTCTCTACTAAAAATACAAAAATTAGCCAGGTGTGGTGGTACGTGCCTGTAGTCCCAGCTACTCGGGAGGCTGAGGCGGAAGAATCACTTGAACCCAGGAGGCGGAGGTTGCAGTGAGCCGAGATTGCGCCACTGCACTCCAGCCTGGCGACAGAGCAAGACTCCGTCTCAAAAAAAAAAAAAAAAAAAAAAGTAAAAATTTTAAAATAATAAGTCATACCTAGAAAAATAATCACTCATAATCACAGGTCACGGGACACATTTTGCAAGTAAACATAAATGGCTTTGGATATCTCAGGGATGTGGATAGGAGAAAATAGGCAATACAAAGATGTGGATACACAGTAGTCATGTGTGATATTATGGGCTGTGTTTCCCCAAAATTCACACATTGAAGTCCTAACCCCATATATCTCAGCATGTGAGTATCTTGGGATACAGGATCTTTAAAGAGGTAATTAAGTTAAAATGAAGTCATTAGGATGGACCCTAATTGAATATGACTGGTGTCCTTCTAAGGAGAGGAAATTTGGACACAGACATACAAAGGAAAAACAGCGTCAAGACACAGGAAGAAGACATTTATCTACAAGTCACAGCCACAGGCCTGGAACAGACCCTTCCTTCATGGTGCTGAGGAGAAGCCAACCCTGCTAACACCTTGATCTTGTACTTCTTCTAGCCTCCAGAACTGTAAAACAAATTAATTCCTGCTGCTTAAGCTACCCAGTCTGTGGTGGAAACCCTAGCAACTAATGCACGTGGAAAGGAATACTAGAATGTAAGATCTATGAGGATAAGAATTTTGGTCTTTTTTGGTCACTGATGTGGCCCAAACACCTAGAACAATGCCTGGTATGTAGTTAGTATGCAGTAAATATTTGCTGAGTGAACTAATAAAAAAGCAGATTAATAAGATTATTTTCATAGATAACTCTAATAAATAACACCAATATTACAGTAATGCTTTTTATTTTCATAAGTCCTGAGGATCTGAACTCCTGGTGTCTTACCTGGTGTTGTGGTATAATCTGCTGCCACAGCCCATGTGTATAAAATCCTCTGGTGAATCTCTTGTGACGATTCAAATCCTGGAGTAATTTCCTGAAGAAGAGAAGAGCTAAGAAGACAAAAATCTTGTTGTAGTGCAAAAAGTGTGAGTTAATACATATTAAAATCAGTTAATACAGATCAAATTTGTTAGTCCCATCATAGAGAAAATGTCACAGACAGATGTAACTTGATGGTATTGCTATTCTCTCAAGGTATTTAGCTAGCTGACATCCATAAAAGCATTGAGAACATCCCGGATTAGCAAATTAAAAGAAAAAAAAAAAAAGACTTCTCTGTTGTTCTTATTAAAGCACTGCAATGGACACAGGAAAAAGGCTAATTAAATTTCCTTCTGACTTACTCAATTATGGATTCATGGTGCATATCTGTCTTTAACCTGATCTCCACGTCTTAATGTTATCACTGTTACCATCAATCAATACTTAATTTGGTACCCTGAATATGCTTGGCAAATAACAGCAAAATGAAACATAAAGAAATATGGAACATCTACTCTGATTTTCAAACTATATATAAGTATCCTTTAAATAACAATTGGGGAAAAATTCACCAAAACTGTAATAGCAATTTTGTTAGAGGTAATACGTAATTCTCTCTTCAAAGTACTCACAATTTTATGTCTCCATTTTAGAAGTACAATGTTATTTATTTATTTTATTTTTTGAGATGCGTCTCATTCTGTCGCCTAAGCTGGAGTGCAGTGGCGCAATCTGCGCTCACTGCAACCTCCACTTCCCAGGTTCAAGAATTCTCCTGCCTCAACCTCCCAAGTAGCAGGGATTACAAGTATGTGCCACCATGCCTGGCTAATTTTTTTTATTTTTAGTAGAGATGGGGTTTCACCATGTTACTCAGGCTGGTCTCAAACTCCTGACTTCAAGTGATCTGCCTACCTTAGCCTCTCAAAGTTCCGGGATTACAAGCGTGAGCCACTGAGCCCTGCCATAATGTTCTTTAAAAATAATCATTCTAACTTCTAATCATTACTGGGAGAAATTTTAAGATTAAAAATCCTCCAAAAGGAGAAAGTGATGCGCTATTTATTTTTTTTCTAATCTTAACAGTGAGAAATTTTTTAAAGTACATTTAATCAATGCCTTTATACAGAATATGCATGAGAAAGCCAGAATACACCAATTTCATGGGCAAGTGAAAGTAAGCATATTTTAATCAAAAATTGGAAACTCTATTCTAAAAGCAGTTTACAAATCAAGTCAAAGCTGCGTCTTAGTTTAGGGCCAGGAATTAGTTTTAGAACTGATGCAATCTCAAACCAGAGCCAACAAGTATTGACCGAAGTCTCTGTCCCAAAGGGAGACACTTGTAATTCTCCAAAAGGGACACAGCATTGTCTTCAGACTTGGGCTTAGGTAACTGATAGGGGTACAGACATTAAATTCATTTTGAAATACCATTTTCCTTTCCAACAAAAGTGAAATCTAAATTCTTTTTCACAATATGCTATTTGTAATCAAGGCCTCCTCTAGTGAAGGGTTTAATTAGCTTCTTGTGCATTTGCTCCTCTTTCCTGGGAACGACAGGATAAACGGGAAGTTCATGCCTTGAGGGCTTATTCATTACAGAATGGAAAAAATGAAGCTATGGACTTTCTCAGGGATGATTTAGAAAGAAGGGATCATTAAATACAGTACTCCCCTCCTTATCTTCTCCAGAAGGCTAATAAAGAAAGTGACTGCACAAGCTGCACTCTGCCGCAGGAATACAAACAGTTCTTGGCCAGTATTTGACCAGAATACTTGTGAGCTCTGAGTCAGGTTTTGATCACACATTGTAGCCTGTTCCAGGAGCAAAGATCATCTTAATGCCTCTCTTAACACCTGTTGTGTCTCCTCCAGTTTCCGTCCCAATAGTCACAAAGCTCTAGAACTATAAAAGCAGAGAGAAAGTCTGCCATTTGATATGACCTAAGTACTACATGGTGTTGGGTAGAACACAGCCAACTACTGAGCACATTAAAAAAGAAGAAAAAAGTGCTCCTCTTGAGACTCGAGATCTTTGTGGTGATAGAATAGTTCTGTAACAGTTGCTGTGGTTATATCAATCTACATGTGTCAAAATGGCACAGAACTATAAACACATTTTGTGCCACTGTCAGTTTCTTGGTTTGGTACTCTAGTTAAGTAAGATGTAACTATTGGGGGAAACTGGGTAGAGGGGACATGTGACCTCTCTATACTGTCTTTGCAACTACCTGTGAATCTGTACTTTTTTCAAAATTGAATGTTTCTAAAAGTGCACCTTGTGTACATTAACATACTTTGAACATTGTGTAATAGAACAAGTCTAATTCAAACACAGCCTGGTTTCCAGATGTGAGGTCTTCAGCCACAACCCAAGAGGCTTAAGGTTGGGAATGTCTCTGCATCATGCTTTTCCCTCTGCCTGGGATAGCCTTTCCCACTGCCTGCACTGCTTATTCCCCTTTCCCAGGCTGGCTCCTTCCCATTTCTCAGGTGACATCTCAAAGCCACTTCCTTACAGAGGTGTTCCCCTGTCCTAACCTTTGCTGTTCTCTGAATATTCCATTCCTTCCACAGCTCCCTTCACCATGTGTAATGATTCACTTACTTGTTTGTTGCCCATCTCCTCACTAGAACATAAGGTAAACTCCACGAGGCGCTTGCCCAATGCATCCCCAACAAGGAGCACACCCCCTGCCACATGGAAGACGCTCCAAATGGATTTTGTTTGAATAATTGACCTCACCGACTGTATGAACTTCCTTGCGGCCAAGAGGACTCTAGAAAACTTTAAAACTGAATTCCCAGCCAATGACAGGACAGGTCAGACACACCTATCATACCTTCTCCCTATTGGAGTTTAGACAGACAGCTGACCAGCATTAACATTAAAATACAGGTCATAAGACCAACAGAAGAGACTCTGTGGCAATAACATACCAAATTATAAACAAATTATACCTAAGGTCATGCCAATCAAAAGTTAAGTCACACATCCATTCACTTAGAGAATAAACTATGTTCTAACTGCCACAAGGTTTTTCTCTTTCTCTAGCAGCAAAACAAGCACTGGCCTTAAGACAAGCAATATTAAAACAATTTGCTGATCCAACAGATGCAGATTAACTGAACCCTTATTCCACCAGCCATCACTACAGCTTTACTTGGACAAGAGACTTGATTTCAGTAACCTTCCCCTGATAGGAAGACCACCAACCATGGACTGGCTCTGGCTAGTTTACACAGACTGCATACTTGCACACCTTCCTGTCCTGAAAAGACCTTTTGACACATAGGGCCTGACTGTAATACATGTATGATTATTATGTTTTAGAAATGAGGTCTCTATCAGGTTGGAGTACAGAGATCTGATCATAAACCACTGCAGCCTCCGTCTCTTGGGCTCAAGCAATCCTCCCACCCCAGCCTCCTGACTAGCTGGGATCACAAATGCACACCACCACACCTGGCTATTGCTTTTACTTTTTGTATAGATGGGGACATCACCATGTAGCCCAGGCATTTAACATTTAAATGGTAACTCTTCAAAGTGAACATGGGTTGTATGGTTACATGCACGTTTGCTCAGTAGGCATGTGTCAGGACCACCTGTATGAATATTCATAGCTACTCCTGTCAGTGCTGAATATGCATATTTACCCAAGCTGTTCAGCCTGAAGCTGCTGAACAGCTCGGGTAAACCCCAACCCCTCCTCTTACCAAGTGTCTGTCTCTGGTCCTGACCATTTCCCAGCCTGCAGAATGGCCACCTCGTAGGGTGTAACCCCTTACAAGACATAAAAGTCTCTTCTCCTTATTATTATTTTTTGAGACAGAGTTTCTGTCTTGTTGCCCAGGCTGGAGTGCAATGCCCTGATCTCGGCTCACGGCAACCTCTGCCTCCCGGGTTCAAGTGATTCTCCTGCCTCAGCTTCCCGCGTAGCTGGGATTACAGGCATGCACCACCGCACCTGGCTAATTTTGTATTTTTAGTAGAAACCGGGTTTTTCCATGTTGATCAGGCTGCTCTCAAACTCCCGATCTCAGGTGTCTTGGCCTCTCAAAGTGCTAGGATTACAGGCATAAGCCACTGCTCCTGGACCTTTTTTTTTTTTTTTTTTGAAACGTTGTCTCCATCACCCAGGCTGGAGTGCAGTGGGGCAATCTTGACTCACTGAAACCTTCGCCTCCGGGTTCAAGTGATTCTCCTTCCTCAGCCTCCCTAGTAGCTAGGACTACAGGTGGGCGCCACCACGCCCGGCTAATTTTTGTATTCTTAGTTGAGCCAGGCTGGTCTCGAACCTCTGACCTCAGATGACCCACTTGCCTCGGCCTGCCAAAGTGTTGGGTTTACAGGCGTGAGCCATCGCGCCCGACCTCCTCTCCTTTTCCAAATGTCTACATTTTGATTTGTTTTTTTCTTAACACACCTCACTCGAGTTCGTTCACTTCGGTTGAGGGTTGATCTGCCTGCCCTCTCAGCTCAGGCTGACCTCAGCGCCGCCGCCACTTCGGTGCACCTCAGCCTTCTCCCCTCAATTCAGATCTCCCTCCGTCATAAGAGGGCGCTATTTTCTTCCCTCTAACTCGTTCTTTCTAACCTCGTTCTTCCCAGACGAGGCGCCTGGATCCAGGTACTTCTACCCCGCGGGGCGACTCACTCGCAGTTTTTCTTCAGGCCATCCCCCGCGGCCGCCTACCCACCACTCTCACGCCCCGCTCCACGCCCCTTGGCTTCCGCCCTCCCTTCCGGTGCAGGGGCCCGGCCTAGTCCCCAAAGCCTTGGGGGATCTCGCCCCTCAGGCCACGCCCTTCAGCCTGAGCGGGAAGTGACTGCGAAGCAGCTGCGCTGGAGGGACCGGAGGGCGGGGAGTGGGAGGTGTGTTCTCCTCTGTCCTGGGCGTTGATTGGCCGACTCTCCAGGAGGCCGGTACCTAGGGCGCGGCGGGGCGGCAACCCCGGTCTGGTGCCCTCTGCTCTTCAGGGCATTCCCCGCGGCTCTGGCTTCGCCGACGAGGACTGGGGAGTGCGACTGTGTCTCGGGCAGCATGGCCGAGAAGCGGCACACAGTGGACTCCGAAGCCCAGCGGCTCCCCGTCTCCTTCAAGGGTGAGCCCCGCGTCCCCTTACCCTGCCCCTTGGACCGAGCCCCCCGCCCGCGGCGTGCGCTCCGCGGTCTGACAGCCGAGCTCCAGGCCGGTCTCCGCTGCGTCGGGCTGGACGAGATCTCAAAGCCGCGGCTCGTCCCTCGTAAACTCAGCATCACGAACCCTGTTTCGCAGACTGGGGTCATGATGGAGGGCGGCGGGGTGCCAACGGCACGTTTCCCGTCGCGTGGGCTCGGGTTATCTTGCAGCTGCCAGATGCCAGGCACCTCGCCAGCGCTACACTGTCTCCTGTCACGCACGCACACGAGGAAACGCAGAGGGAACTGGCAGCCAGCGGGGGGGGGCACCGGTACCCCGCGTCTCACCCTTTGCCCACTCCCCTTGTTTCCCGACTCACCCTCTCGGAGGCCACCTCCTCCACTCAGCCCTGGCCCGGCCCTTCCTTCCCCAACCCCACCTTCCCCACCCCACCTTTCCCAACCCCACCTCCCGAAACTTAGACCGATTTACAGAAGGAAAAAGTTTCTCTGGTTTTCTTCTCACCTTTCTTTCTGGCTCCACTTTCTGCCCCATTTTCCCCCCTAAGCCTTCCTCTACATTTTGAAGAACTCTCCTTTCCAACTTTTGTTCCTCTCCAGGAACCCTGAGTTCCCTCACCCGCACCCCCAACCTGCCTTCCTAGTCTTCAAGGCAGCAGCTGCGAGTGGCGCAGTCTCCTTCCCCCGTGGAGAAGCTGGTACTCTGGGGAGGGGGTCCCAATAAAGAGAGGTGGTGGACCTCCCAGGAGTCCTGGTATCCACTCAGGAGCTCTTAGTGATCCAGACGAATTACAGTGTTTCTAACGATGGAATTTCAGGCAGGGTGGCAGTGAAAGCAATTTAGGGGGCTGGGTGGGTTTTTCCAGCACCCTGCAAAGAACACAGCATTGAAGTCATCTATTCTGATTATTTGTAAAGCGAGGTTTATCCACATATCTTACCTGTAAGTTCCATTTCCCTTGCCCAGGGATCCCTGTCTTCATTTCCTTCCCAGGAGCATCAAAGGAATTATAGAAATCTTTATTTCTCTGCTAAGAACATTGAAGGATTATCTAACCAAATGGAAAGTGTAACATGGAGGAGTTGATGAGAATAACAGCAACCACAACAAAAAACTAAATAGGCCAGGCTCTGTGCAACATTTTTTTTTTTTTTTTTTTGAGACAATTTAGCTCTTGTTGCCCAGGCTGGAATGTGATATTGGCTCACTGCAACCTCCGCCTCCTGGGTTCAAGTGATTCTCCTGCCTCAGCCTCCCAAATAGCTGGGATTGCAGGCATGCGCCACCACACCCCGCTAATTTTGTATTTTTAGTGGAGACGGGGTTTCACCATGTTGGCCAGGCTGGTCTCAAACTCCTGACCTCAAGTGATTCACACACCTTGTCCTCCCCAAGTGCTGAGATTACAGTTGTGAGCCACTGCACCCGGCCAGTTCCACATATTTTATGTATATATTATTGTATTGAATCTTCACAATAGATGATGTGCTAGGTTTCCTTATCCTCATATTATACTTGATGAAACTGATAGTCAAAGAAGTTAAATTACTTAAAGTCACATAGTTTGTATTTAAATCTAGATTTGACTGATTCTAAAACTTGAATAGGAAAAACTTGTGCGGTAACTGCCTCTTCGATAGTTAGTTGCCTTTTCCTAGATAAGAACGTGGGTGTAGCATGCATTCCTCAGTACCCTGACCTCCTGGTGGGAAACTGCAGTGGGAAATCTGCTTAAGGAAGTTCTTTGGGAATAAACATGATCTTTGTACTTAATGTTTATTTACAGATGAAGTTCGTTTATTTATTTATTTATTTGAGACAGAGTCTAACTCTGTCGTTCTGTCACCCAGGCCAGAGTGCAGTGGTGCAATCTTGGCTCACTACAACCTCTGCCTCCCAGGTTCAAGCAATTCTCCTGCCTCAGCCTCCCAAGTAGCTGGGATTACAGGCATCTGCCACTGCGCCCAGCTAATTTGTATAGTTTTAGTAGCGACAGAGTTTCACTGTCTTGGCCAGGCTAGCCTTGAATGCCTGACTTCGTGATCCACCCGCCTCGGCCTCCCAAAGTGTTGGGATTACAGGCATGAGCCACCGCACCTGGCAGCAGACAAGTTATCTTCCAGGTTTTTCTTGTTTCTACCCTTAACTACTTTTAGACAGAAATCTTTCAAGATCTAATGAAAACCACTGCTTCTTCTCAAAAATTAAACATACAAATAAAATTTTGCATAGTCTTTTTTCTTTTTTAATATAAACCTTAGAAATTTGGCACTGCTAGGAAAACCATTGCTGGAATTTATTAGAGTTTATTGAATGCTTTCCCTGCACCAAAACACAGTTTAGGTGCTTTACAAACATTATCTAATTGCATTCTGTAACAGCTCTACAAGGAAAAAGCCATTATTCACCATTTCACAATAAGGAAACTGAGGCTCAGAGTGATCAAATCACACAGTTTCTAAAATTTTCAGCCCGGTTTCAAACCCCAGCTATCTGATTTTCTGAACCGTTTTCCCTGTCCCAGAGATGCATACCATGAATGTAGAACCTTGTCTAACCTCAGTACTTTACTGAAGTTGAGAGACAAAAAATAAAAAAAGCTTGGAGGAACAGCTTCAGTGGTAACTTTCAGAAGGCTGCTTGTGAGGGAAGCAGTGGAATTATAAAAGCCTAAACTCTGCCTCTTTATGTCTTTGCTGAGAATTAATCCTAGGTAGGTAAATAGGACCAGACCGAGGGCAAGACTAGTTTTTCTTAAAGGCAGTGTGCTCACTTTGTACTGAAATAATGCAAGTGAATTGCAAAGAATGTATCATTGTAATTAAGAGCCGTGTCAACAAAATAAATCCCTTTGGGAGAATGTCTGAAAATAAGGAAAATCACAAGACTGATTGTTTTAATCAGTTGTTATAGCCAGTCAGACTGGGGAGAACTTTGTAACTTCTTCAATAATTAATCTGAGTTACTCCATCACTGGTCATAAATTAATTTATGGAAGACTAGGCCTACAAAAACTGGCATATTTATTTATTATTAAATAGGTTTTTGGTGCTACCTGATGGTATAAATTTTACATAGTAAAATAGTCACTGATTCCTAGTCAGCTTTGAGGAAAAAAAAGTTAAAGATGTTGATAAAGTGATATAGATGGGATTCAAAAATCAGTTTTTTAAAAAGGCATGGAAAAGCAATTTCCTGAAAACTCTTGTAACTACAAAAAAGTAAATACCCTTTTTCTGCATCTGCCTGGTATCCTGTGCATATCCCTATCATAATGTTTATTACATAATATTATATTTATCAGTCCCCTCCCCTCCCATAATTAGACTACCCTCTTTCTTTTTGAGACAGGGTCTCACTCTATCACCCAGGCTAGAGTGCAGTGGTGCAGTCATAGCTTACTGGAGCCTCAAATGATTCTCCCACCTCAGCCCCTTGAGTAGCTGGGACTACAGGTATGCGCCACCACACACAGATAATTTTTTTATTTTTTGTAAAAGTGGGGTCTTACTATGTTGCCCAGGCTGGTCTTGAACTCCTGGACTCAAGCAATCCCACTTTAGCCTCCCAAAGTGCTGGGACAACAGGCATGAGCTACCACGTCTGGCCTTTAGACCACACTTTTGAAAGCAGAGATTGTGTCCTTCTTCATTGTAATAGCCCAGTATCAAGTACATAGTAGGCATACAAAAACGTTTGTTGAAAGAAAAAGGAGGCAGGCAGGGAGATAAAAATCCCCATGGCATAAGTAACATTGTTAAGTGTTTGCCTTAGCCTTATATTGGTGGCACAGTTTTTCTGTTTACTGTTTATTTTATTAAGCTTGTTATAACCCATACTGTGATTTTAGGGCATGGCCATCATGTTTATTATCTGTTATTACAGATAGACTATTTGTTTGGTGTATATTATCAATAAAAGGGTTATAGTTGCCAATATAATATATTGTTCCTAGTAAGAAATCTCCTTTTATTTTTTAAAGCATGGAAAGAGAAGTTAGAGTTCACGGTTAGTAGAAAGAAGGAAGTGTGTGTCAACAGATAATTTTCTATTGACACACTTGCTAATAATTAAAATAGATAATTTTAATTTAAATAGATAATTTTCTGTTGACACACAGTTGTTGCTATATTCTTTTTTAACCTTTCTCTGTTTGCTGGGACTAGTAAAGAAACTTGAACTCCAAGCATTTGGCCTCACATTTTAGAAGATTATCCTTGAAGATGCAACCAATAAAGTCCTAAAGTCTCAGACAATGAAAACTATACCAAATTTGTGGTCCAGTAAAGTGAGCACTTATGGTAAGGTAGTAGAACATAGTGAAATGAAAGTAGAATTTATAATTAAAAGATTTGGGTTGAGATCACTTTACCATCAATTAAGAGATTTGTATGAAGGATGGTCCAAGAAAGTTTAGAACTCTGACTTACTGCCCCAAGTATAGTCTGTTTCTCCTCCAGAGATAGAGTCCCTAAGCAGATTGTTAGTTGACATTTTCTCCATGGTGCCCAGATCCCAAAAGGTAATTCACTTAATAAAAAGTTTCTTCCTGTAAACTTGTCAATAATGATCTTAAAGTTGTAGTAATAATAATGCCTACTGTTTGTTGACTACTTCCTAAGTATCAAGCCCTTTACATATTTTCTCATTTTATCTTCACAACAGCAGTGTGAAATAAGTAGTGTTCTTTTCCCTCATTTTACTGATGAGAAGATTTAGTGGTAGATTTTGAATCTAATACCCAAAATGCAAGCTTCTAGCCACTGCTTAGCTGTTAACCACAGTGAAGAACTGAGAACTTTATGATCTAGTTTCCTTTTGCTTCCATTAACCATTTTTAAATGAAAATGATGTTACCCTCCAAAGACTTATATGAGAAAAACTTAATTGTGGATAATTTGAAGATGTCCAAGTAAAAGAGCTGAAAAAAAAAAAAAAAAACCATAAAAAGTGGGAGGGTTT